GTTAGGTTTTAAATGATCAAATGAAAGATCTTACTTTTCAAAACTGCATTTCTTGGTTGTCAAACATTGGTGTTCATTATCAATGTGATTCACTACACTCTCTGCTGGCTGGGACACCTGGAATGTGAGGACAACTGACTTCATGAAAAACATAGGCAGCTTACTTGTTGCCCTATCAGACAATGACTTTGCAGGAAGCTTTTTGCAAGAAGGTCCTTCACGAAACTGATTTCATACAGACATTTGAGGCAGCTTATCTGTTTAATGATCTATATAAATACCTCCATTCATTCATTCATCTACAAAATAAAAAGAGGATACATCTATGCTGCCTTCAAAAATCGATCAGATTAAGGTATCTCGGGAGACCGGGAGTTAACATTGCTAACATTGGATTCGGACGGGCCTTGATGCCTTCCTGCTTTGGAATCTTCCGAAGGCAGCATTTTCCAACTTCCGGCCCATAAATCCACAAAAAAATCTTACTTTTTGGCTAAAAGTGACACTTGGTTTGATATACAGTATTTCATCTCATGCAGTGACATCTTTTTTTGGCTTAAACATGTTTTGAGTCACTGCTCTTATCCAGGATTGTGAATAATTACATGGAATAATGTTACAAAATGGATCTTTTATTCATTTTAACCAGTCTTGGTTGTCAATGCACTGTTTTTCTCTGTTGAAAAGATGTAGATTATGATCTGGCTGTCACCCAACAGTATAGTCATTATTTCCTGCTGTGTTTTTTCTCGGTCGATCCGAGTACAACAAATACTCCTCTTCATCCTCGTCCTTGTCTTTGCTGGACAGTGGTTTTAGGTCTGTTATCTGAGCCTGTTTCAGACAGGAGTCATTAATTATCATCAGAGTCACCCTGTTCCATGACTCCTCGTGTCCCGTTCTCCTCATACCTTTCCGTTGTGCCACAAACCATCTATACTGTCTGTCTTTCCAAAGACAAAAGGAGGACAATGGATCCTTTTTTTGTCCTAGAGCTGAGTGCCCTCACCCCATATCTACAGCAGGGCAAGAGCTCAGTCCTCCAGGCACGCTGACCTCATGGCTCGAACCAGAGCCCTGCTGTAGGCCGGTGTGTTTGTGACTGGTATAGTGGGGTCATAGATGCAGCAGTAATGGGGAAAAGCCTGACTCATGTGGGTATAAGAGCACCCTGTTGAGAAGAGAGAGCGGGGGGGGGGGGGGGGTGTATAGGCAGGGTCAGTGGGATGGATCTGCAATGCTTTAATGCACATTACTATTAAATGTTATAGGTATATGAATATATATATATAACATCTAAAAATGTTTATTACACTTTTAACCCAAATTTGGGTCAAATATGGACAAACCCAAATGTTGGGTTAGAAATGTAACGTAAAAATTTAACCCAACGGCTGGGTTTGTCCATGTTTGACCCAAAGTTGGTTAAAAAAACAACCCAGCATTTTCTAGTGATTTTAGTGTAATAATGGATTTTACTCATAGCCTACATACTTTCTGCATATATAGTGTGTATGTTAGTCAATTCATTTTTTTTACATTTGAAAAATAATGAATGTAAGCATTTTATTTATATTTTTTATATAATAATTGAATGCATAAATTAATTAAACCATTCAATGTTTAGCTGCTGGACTTAATTTTTTTAATGTAATGTAATATTCTTTAATGAAATTAGTGGACAATAATTGGTGGACCCCACGTTGAAGTTCTAGCAGGTTGCTTAATTTAATAATAAAATATATATTTTACTAGTTTTTTTATGTTTAAAAAATGATTATGCAGTAACCGACGTTGTGTGTTTACGCCTGTTAATTGTGACTATTGACAGTGCAGTACAGCGTCCCATACTTTAGTGCTTAATTATGACTGTAACATCCACGAGAGAAAGGCAGTGAAATGGGAAGATTGAATGGGTGATTGTTGTGATTTTTTAGACAATTAGCTGTGCGCATCGACTTCCCTGTGTTGTGTTGTGTGGTGTCAGGCTCCAGCCTGGCCGTTCTTTTCTCTCCCCGGGACGGCCTAAACAATAGACACTATGTACAGAAGCACAAGGGGCAGGAGTGTGTCCGTGTAGTGTTTTTCGAGGCTCTGGAGAATTTACGTCTATGCTGATTGACTTATTTCTCTGATGCGGAGTGTTGTAACTGGAATAAGTGGAACAGTGTGTTTTCACCAAGACAGTTGGACACAATGCTGTTAATTTAATCACTTTGTTTGGAAATGACAACTAGACAGGTCTTTTGGTTAGCCCTTAGTGGCACCTCAGTTGTGTTTGTTTCTGTTATATTAGATTACATTTACATTACATTTCTTTTCTTTTTTTCAAGATTTTTGGTGATGTGCAGTGGTTAGTATTTTGGCATAGAGACGTCTTGTGTATCTTTGTGTCCCACACACTCTTAAAAATCAAGGATCTTGTTAGAACCAAGAAGTTTGTAAAGCCAGATTCCATTGAACAATTTTTTTGAAATTCCACAAAGAAATTTTAATTTTCTAGTTCTTTAGAAAACCATTTATGCACTGGTGCTTTAAAGAACTTATAAGCTAATATGTTCATTAGAATTAGGGATGTAACGATTCTATCGCAACCGGTTGAAAATCGATAAAAATGTAACGGTTCAAGTCGGTTGAAATGCTTAACGAATCGCAAAACACATTTTAAACAGCAGGGCGCATTTAAAACGTGTATCGCGATTCATTAACATTTCAACCGACTTGAACCGTGACACATTTTCTATCGATTTCAACCGGTTGCGACTGAATCACTTGTATCGAGATTCGGTTAACATTTCAACCGACTTGAACTGTGACACATTTTTATTGATTTCAACCGGTTGCGACTGAATCACGTGTATCGCGATTCGTTTAACATTTCAACCGACTTGAACCGTGACACATTTTTATCGTTTTCAACCGGTTGCGACTGAATCACGTGTATCGCAATTCGTTTAACATTTCAACCAACTTGAACCGTGACACATTTTCTATCGATTTCAACCGGTTGCGACTGAATCAGGTGTATCGAGATTCATTTAACATTTCAACCGACTTTAACCGTGACACATTTTTATCGATTTCAACCGGTTGCGACTGAATCACGTGTATCGCGATTCGTTTAACATTTCAACCGACTTGAACCGTGACACATTTTCTATCGATTTCAACCGGTTGCGACTGAATCACTTGTATATCGAGATTCGTTTAACATTTCAACCGACTTGAACTGTGACACATTTTTATTGATTTTAACCGGTTGCGACTGAATCACGTGTATCGCAATTCGTTTAACATTTCAACCGACTTGAACCGTGACACATTTTTATCGTTTTCAACCGGTTGCGACTGAATCACGTGTATCGCAATTCGTTTAACATTTCAACCGACTTGAACCGTGACACATTTTCTATCGATTTCAACCAGTTGCGACTGAATCAGGTGTATCGAGATTCATTTAACATTTCAACCGACTTGAACCGTGACACATTTTCTATCGATTTCAACCGGTTGCGACTGAATCACGTGTATCGCAATTCGTTTAACATTTCAACCGACTTGAAACGTGACACATTTTCTATCGATTTCAACCAGTTGCGACTGAATCAGGTGTATCGAGATTCATTTAACATTTCAACCGACTTTAACCGTGACACATTTTTATCGATTTCAACCGGTTGCGACTGAATCACGTGTATCGCAATTCGTTTAACATTTCAACCGACTTGAACCGTGACACATTTTCTATCGATTTCAACCAGTTGCGACTGAATCAGGTGTATCGAGATTCATTTAACATTTCAACCGACTTTAACCGTGACACATTTTTATCGATTTCAACCGGTTGCGACTGAATCACGTGTATCGAGATTCGTTTAACATTTCAACCGACTTGAACCGTGACACATTTTCTATCGATTTCAACCGGTTGCGACTGAATCACGTGTATCGCAATTCGTTTAACATTTCAACCGACTTGAACCATGACACATTTTTTTATCGATTTCAACCGGTTGCGACTAAATCACGTGTATTGCGATTCGTTTAACATTTCAACCGACTTGAACCGTGACACATTTTTATCGATTTCAACCGGTTGCGACTGAATCATTACATCCCTAATTAGAATAGCTCAAAATATGACCTCAAGAACATCCAATGAACTTCATTTAAATGTGGTTCTTCACTTATTATCGAGAACAATAATCACACTTTTCCAAAGAACCTTTTGCGCAAGGGAAAGGTTGCATGGATGTTAAAGGCTCAGTGTAAAGGCTCACTTATTTTTAATTCATCAAAGTATGTTATGCATTTTTCAACTTTTTTTAAGTTATACAAGATTCAATTTATTTTTTCTAAAAGTTAGTGTAATTTAAGTTGAAATTACTTAAACAGCTAAGTTGATGGTACTTCAAAAATTAAGGCAGTAACTTGTTTTGACTTTTTTGCAGTGTTCTTCATGAAACCATCGATGCCATTAAAGAATCTTTCATTTTAAGAGTGTGGATGTTATTAAGATTCTTCCTGGAAACAGATGCAAATAAAGAACCTGAAAAACTTTGTTCTTGCAACTTTGTTGTAAAATCGGTTTTGCTATAACCAATAAAAAGTGAAAAACGATTCTTGATAAGAATAGAATCGTAATGTGCTCCAAAATGAACAACCTTTATTATTTTATTTTTTTCTCTTCTCTCACTCCATGCAGTTGTCCAATGAAAATGCTTGCATTCCTCTCATGTCACCCAGTGTAAATGATGCATACTAGTGTGCGGGGGCATCTTGATCCTTGGTTGGATTGACCTAGGTTCTGAGCGCTGCCACATCCATGTGCTCTGGGCCGGGAGGAACAGTGCAGTGCATTGTGGGTTGAGTAGAGTGGGTGTCTGTTTATGAATGGCCTGAGTGGATGGAACAATGCTCCCTGCTCTGAGCCTCTGACATTTTCATATAGAACGGAGGAGTTGAAAGGAGGAGAGAAACAAGCCCACCTCCTCCTCCTGCCCCCGTCCAGCCCGCCCCGCCTGGTACAGAAGGTGGCAAGAGAGGCCTCCATCCGTATGTGTGCATGTCATTGTGAGTGTTTGTCATGCTACGGTTTTTCTCTGCTGATTAATGCCTAATTCCAGCCGAGGAGGTCTGGAACCTTGAGACTGGTGAGTCTTAATGCATTTTATATGGATTAGGTCATTTTTAATGCCGTGTTTATTGATTATGTAGCCTTCATTAGGGGTTACATTAGGGCTTTTTATACTTTTATATTTTTCAAATGTGTTTGGCTGCGCAGATAAGTTTATAAGAGTGTATTTGAAGTAAATCGTGGATGATCGTTGCTGCTGTTGGTTGTTAGTTAAGTAACTAAACGTGTTTTCATGCTGTTGTTGTCAGTAAATGAATTGTGTATGGACTGAGAATATTGTCACGAGGATGAGATAAAAAAAAGAATAGGATTTAAAGAGAGACAAAGAGATGTTCAGGTACTGAAGGGAAAGGGAATGGTGGTTCGGTCATGCGTGGATATGTGTCATGCAGTGCCAACATACTCCTGCCAAACTCCTCAATCACTCACTGGAACAACATTGTGGGGCTTCATCACATCCCACTTTAGGTTAGCAGCAGAGTGGCGTGATGCTGGATCTGTTCCGGATTACTCATAAACATTTTTTGCTATAGAACAGCAGCATTTGTTTGTAATCATTGGCGCTGATAAAGAGCTAAATTTTGGTTAGTGTTGCGTGCAGTTATTGTTAACCGGGTCATTGCAACATAGGGCATTTTTATGGAGAGGCCCATCAGTAATTGATTAACTTTTTGATACCAATGAACCCCCAAATAATGCAATCATGACAACACCAAGCAGTTCAAGATGCTCTTATTAAGCATTGTTCTGAGTAAAGCCTGTAGCATTTCATACCTCATACCTCAATAATCTATTCGTTATAGTTTTACTCTCTATCATCCATTTGTTCCAAGCATATTTTCTGGGTACTGTAATTTGGCACAGGGAATCAAAAACGGTTTTAAAAATGAGGAGTAACTTCAGTGGATTCTCCCCCTAGAGGGTGGGACGGGCCTAGATTTACTAAGTTGGACCCGGGCCTCTGTCTTCACAGTCTGAAATGTGGACAGGAAGCTGCTATGTAGTGAAGGTAGACTACTGAGACTGCCATCTGCCCCGAATGATGAATATAGCAGGCTGTGGAATATTTCAGCATAGAAAACATAAATTTTATGATCATATGTGCAAGAGTACATCTTAATATATGCATGTATTCATCAATTAACTTAGTTAATAGAGTGTGTGTGTGTGTGTATACATTTCTAAAATAATAATCATATTTATAGTACATTTTTAGGTTTAGAATAGTATAGTTTTAGTACATTTTTAAATAAAACAAAACAATATTAAATATATTATTATAAATAATAAATATATGTAAACATTACGAATTAAATGCAAATTTCTCTATTGTTGAACAGAGGATCTTCCCATTTTTGTATTCTGTGGATTGAAGCAATTTTGACAGTTTCAGGGAAATTTAATAACGCAACAGGATATTGTTTCAAACTTTAGACATTTTGTCAATTAGAATCCCCCGTCCTGGCAGCGTTCTTGTGGGTCCTGGTTGTGGGTGGGCTGCTTCATGAAACTTTACACATGCCCAGATCAGATCATTTTGAATCTGAGCGATGTTTACCGTATGACTCATTGATGGATTGCGGCTCACATTAGCCGTTTATCCATTATTGCCTTGCTAATTTACAAGCTGTGTTCTGTTCTGTTCTGAGATTTGCCAACATTTGGGATTTATTAATCACCCCAAAGTTGTTACTCCATGCTGATGATGCTGATAGTTTTATCTTTGTATGCTGTGTGTTTTGAGCCACAGGCATTTGTAATCCCTCCCACAAAAATTATACAAGCCGCGGATAATATGCCCTACTAAGTGCACATTCATAAACACTCAGCCATAGTCGCTTATACAGCAAACAGCGTGGGAGGGCCAGCAGTCATGTTTTTTTTTTACCACCATCTGCTCCTCTGGTAAATTTAGAGGGTGCCCAGGCGTATGGACGCAGGGCACGTCACAGGCGGACAGCAAAGCATGCTGTGAACAGACCTGTTCTGAAGAGATCTATAGCACAAGGTGCACAGAACACTGCATGAAAATAGGTGTATCCGGACCAGTATACTCCTGTATACACTGCTGAAATTCGGAAGAATCCAGGAGTATAGTGGCCGGATATGTCAAATTCCATGGGTTTGTATATATCCGCATACATCCGGAATGATACCAAATCGGATGTATGTTGTGGACGTATACTTCCGTGCTAGAGCCATTTGTTGCCATGGCAAGTAATCCCATTAAAGCAGGAAAAAAAATCACACCTTTTTGCAGGAAACATTCACACCTTTTTGCCTTCCAACCAAACTGGATTGGTTGTTCTTTTAAAGCCACTCCCAACACCCAGACCACTATTGGAGGGCAGGACACATTGAAAACCCAGTAAACGGACTTTATTGGTTACTTTTAAACATGGCCCACCCTAGGCCTTGTAGCATACTGATTTGATTGGTTATATACCAGCTATGCAGATATTGCTCAAATATATACCAAACCTCCCTCCCCCAATTTTAATATATTCATTAAAATAAATTTGATATATATATATTTATATTTATATTTAAACACACAAAGAACAATGGGAAAGTCTGAAATTTTTATTAAGGTATATAACACATTCCAAATAGCATTATAAACAAGCATTACAGAGGAATTGGGAACAAAAACTAGAAAAAAAAGTATGAAGTAATAACATCTCAAAGGAAGAAAAAAAAATCATGGACATTCCAAAGAAAATTATAAACATACATTAAATAATTTGTTAACTTTTTATTTTCGTTAATTTTTTTTTACCCAATCATTTTAAAGGACAGATGTAAAGGAATAAAGTACACAGTGTATATAAAAAGTTACATATATATATATATATATATATATATATATATATAAAATATATGAAGAGTTCCATTTGAAATTTTCTCCTTTAATGATGATTTTTATCAAACTTGTGTATTTAAGTTCAGTAATTTCTCTTAAATGGCAATGATAATTGCCTATTAATTGTTATTTAAGTGAAATTACTAAACTTAAATATACAAGTTTGATAAAAATCATCATTAAAGGAGAAAATTTCAAATGGCATTTAGAGGCTTTTGCATCTGAACTCTTCATATATATATATATATATATATATATAATATACGTAGATATTCCAAGTAAACAATATAAATAAATAGAACATTACAGAGAGTGCATTATAAACATACATTAAAATGCAAACAAGTAAACAAAATGGAGATAAGCAACATGGACAACAAAAAAAGGAACAAATATATGAAATAATACGAGAAAAGTAAATAAGAAATTAAAGTGTATATAAAATATTCAAGGTGTACACTGCCGTTTATAAGTTTGGGATCGGTAAGAAGTCTCATATGTTCGCCAAGGCTGCTTTTTTTTATATATATAAAAAATACAAAAAAAGTAAGAGTAATATTGTTAAGTATTATGACAATTTAAAATAAACGTTTCTATTGGAATACATTATTCTTGTGATCAAAGATGAATTTTTAGCATCATTACTCCAGTCTTCAGTGTCACATGATCCTTCAGAAATCATTCTAATGTGATGATTTGATGCTCAATAAATATTCATTATTATTACCAAAGTTGAAAACAGTTGTAGACTTTTTAGGATTATTTGATCAATAGAAAGTTATATTTCATTTATTTGAAATATGATTTTTTGTAACATTATAAATGTCTTTACTGTCACGTTTGATTCATTTAATGCATCCTTGCTGAATAAAAGTATTGAGTTAATTTGAGCTATCCCCCCCAAACCAAAAAAAAAAAAATATCTTACCGACCCCCAAACTTTTGAACGGTTATATATATATATATATATATTTTTTTTTTTATACGAGTTAACATTTTTCAAACTGCCATGATACGCTGGTGGTGTGACGCATAGTGTGGGTCAGCCTCTAGTCTGTTTTATAGTACCTAGCAGAGAGCAGATTGGTGGAGACCTCACCATTCACACTGGCCTTCCATCAACAATAGCATCATCTTCATCAGACATCAGTTCTATTGTTGCGGTCTTCCAAAGTTCCTTTTCTGTGTTGGTTTGTACAACCCCGGACCTGGTCTCCAGCAACTGAAAAACATGACAGTAACTTAACCACTAAAACACAGAGAGGAGGATAGTTACATTCTGAAGAGAAAAAAAAGTGCTTAACCAGTTTCTTAACTTACCAGTCGCTTTCTTTGAAGGTTCTTTGCAATGCTCGTCATAGTTTTTCTTTTCTGGGCCTTTTCAGGCTGAGCCAAAGAATACTTCCTCCGCAAAGTCTCAAAATACATCTTCCAACCTGCTAAATATATCATAAATAAATGTAATGGCAATAAAAATAAGTAAAACAGAGGACAATAAAATGATTACAACATCTTTAAGATTACCTTTTACACATTCAGGGTCAACGTCTGTAAAAGTTGACCTTAATTCTTCGAAGAGGTAAGTGGTCACAGCCAGGTTATGTGATGAATTTATTCTGGGGGGGAAAGTTGCAGGTATCATTACTGAAATTCACTTTTGGCATTCCAAATCCATAGAGTAGTAGATTAAACTAACATTTAGGCTATAGTATATAAGAAACAGTCTTACCTGGTTTGTGGAACGTATTTGTGTGGGTTGTTCTCTGAATTATGGAGGCGCCTTACAGATTCCTGTAAAGTTTGAAATTAAAAAGCAATTAAATTGATTCACAATCTTCAAGAACCACAAAACTGAATTTTTAGTTGGAATAAGCTGACCATCACAGTAACCGCAAGAGACAAAACAATAATTTAACCGAACTATGGCTTACAGCCACGTTATAGAACAATAATTGGACTTACCGCAATGTTCACGTCATGTGCCTTTTTTATTCTTTTCGAAGCGTTGTAAGATTCTTCATGTAACGTTAGTCTGTGGTGCTCATACTTTCGCTAAAGAGCATCAAGACGCTGGAGAGTCTCTCTGAGAAGATCAGGTTGTGGCCAAAGACAGATTGATCCTCCCATTGTGATTCTGCATCACAGCTGTGGGG